TATTCTAGTTATAGAAGTTTTTGTAGTTGTAGTTGCTGATGACACTACTTTTTCTTTATTCTTGAGAATTGTTCTTATTGTTGAAGTTGATAAGTTCAATTAAACACCAATTTGACATGATGTTCACCACTATCCAATCTTCTACGCACTTGTATTTTAGTTTCTAGTGAAATGTTTCTTGTTGATTTAGTTTCATGTTTCTTATCACCCATATTAAAAACTAAAAATTATAATATTTATTACTATATCAATCATTAGATTAAGTAAATTTATACTTACAATAATAGCAACAAATGTTTGAAATTATAAAAATACGTTTGTGTAACACTACAGAGAAGAAGTAATGGAGATAATGTACTTTCGATTTTGGGGAAGCGCAGTACTACATGCAATTTTTAGGGAATTTAACTATTCCAATACAAATGTGTTAAACCGAAACAGTGTTAAACAGACTAATGTTAAGCTTCATTTCTCCTGATTTATCTTGCTTGATCTAGCAACACGTTTTTGCCACTTTGCTTCACCCATTGTTTAAAGATATGTAAGGTATACAAAACTGTGGTATGCAACATGCATTCAAAAATGATATAGACCACAAGAATGAAGAGTCAGGAAATGAATTATGCCAAACATCTGCAAGTTTCTTCTACTATGCATTCCATGTATGCCAGTCATATCTATAACCATCTCAGCCATGAATTAAAAATTAATTGTTGTTAATTTTTAATTCATGGCTTGTAATAAGACTAATGTTAAGTGGGATGGGGGAGAGAAAAACAACATTAATTTTTAATTTTTAATTCATGGCTGAGATGGTTATAGATATGGCTGGCATACATGGAATGCATAGTAGAAGAAACTTGCAGATGTTTGGCATAATTCATTTCCTGACTCTTCATTCTTGTGGTCTATATCATTTTTGAATGCATGTTGCATACCACAGTTTTGTATACCTTACATATCTTTAAACAATGGGTGAAGCAAAGTGGCAAAAATGTGTTGCTAGATCAAGCAAGATAAATCAGGAGAAATGAAGCTGTGCATTAGTAACAATGATATTTATAAACTTGATTTCTTTGTTTAAATTCTCGATCTGTGATTAGATATGAGCTGTCATAATGCAGGAGAATTACATGATCAAGAATGAAATGAAAAGACAGTGTGGAAAAATTATTATAAATAATTTATACACACACATGTATGCACACACATGCACTACATTAACATTTAACACAAATGAAACAGGAAATGGTACTTTGGTATTTGCAAAGAACCCAAAATTTTAAATGTTCAAAATTTTATATTCAAGATGTAATTTACATTAAAAAAGAAGGAGAAGGAGATTGATTTATAATATGAAAAGTAAACCCAGAAGTAGCTCCCTAAAAAAGGGGAAAGATTAAAATTAAAAATAATAAAATGTAAAGGAATATAAAAAATAGAAAACTTACACAAAGCGCATGCAAAGAATAAATACAGAATAAATTTTAGTAAATAGACTGCCTGCATGGGGTTTTAAGATTTCACTGCATAGGGTTTTAAGAAATATGAGCTAATTTTGCTTAAAATGTCTTTCGAGAATGCATCCCTCCTTCTAAACAGCATAGATATATATTTTGCACTCATCAATCACCAATCCAACTGATATGCATTCAACAACAATTTCTAAATCATATTGAAAGTGAGCAACTTCATACTAATAAATTTATCAATTATTTTTATTTTTATCTTTTACATAATATTCAAATTCTGAAATAAGCATCTGTACTAAAAATTACAAAAATTATTAATAACAATCTTTATTTCTCTGCAATAGTTAAAATAATTAGAAAATTCTTCTATCCAACTTTTTAAACTCATTCAAAGAATGAAAACATCCTTAAGATATATGGACAGAAGAAATTCGTGTATCTTGTAAAACATTTACCTAGCTGTTAAAAACTAAATCAAATGATATAAAAGAAGTTGATTTTAGAATATTCAAGGAAGTTCTGAATTCTTTTTGTTTACTCTCTGTTCCTCTCCCATTTTAGGATGCTTTTTAATTTAACATGTTATCAAAAACAGCCATATTTCTGAAATCCATTTTAAAACTCTGAATGATATGGCTTTTTTTATATCTTATTAAAACCTATAATTAAATGCCATTTGTTTACTATATTTGAATAATTATTTATTTATCTCTGTACTTTCATAAAACTCTATTCATTAAGATGAAAATTAAATCATTAAGAAATATACGAAGAAATATTTTAAATACCAAGGTAATATGTAAAAAGGGACATAACTGGTTAAAGGCAATGATGCCTCTCAGTAAATTGATATATAAAATTTCAGAGATCTCTCCCCCCATGCACATATAACACTACAAAGAAAACTAATTTAATTAAACACTAAATTTTCATACAAAAGTGCTTAAATTGAAGTATTATCATTAATATACAGCCATAAATCAGAGCTTGACTAATACTTAAGATTACAATGCCTGGGAGTAAGATTTCAGAATCATTCTCTACACTTTCCCATAAATCAGCATCTTCCCTTAATAAAAGCAAGGAAAGTGGGCACTGAAAACCCCTGAATGATGGCTGTGCCTAGGACTCCAGATTAACTTAATTAGGCCTTAGTTACGATGATAAGATATTTGTTCTTATATTTTCAATATCAAGCATATTTTAATAATTCAATTAATTACTACAAGCATTAATTTAACCACCTAAATATAACGAGAGGGGATCATACTTTTATTAACACATACATAAAGAAAAGACAATGAGATAGACAAAATTATACACATTATTTCACATATGAAGGTATGAGAAACTTTAAAATGGCAGAAAAAACATACTTTGCAGTATTTTGCTGCCTGCTCACATGCAGCTTTCAATTCAGATCCAGCAGGATGCCAGTCTGGTGGGCCATTATTTGTCAACAAACCCATTCCCAAAACTGCAGCATTGACAATAGCAATACCTTTTTCCTAAAGTAAAATGAATATTGAACAATAATTGTTGTGAATGCTTACACTTTTCCCGATAACTTAACTATTAATTTTTTTTTCTTTCTTTTTCTTTTTTTTTTTTTTTTTTCTATTAACATGTTATTTCTTGTATTGAATTGTTCCTGCCCTTCTAAAGCTTCATCCATCCCACCAGAATATATGAACGACATGAGTTCAGACTGCCATGGTGGAATTCTTCTGCCACTGTCTCCCTTGAGTGCTGTAGCTATAAGCTGAATGTTTTTGACAGAAATTACATTAATAGCCATAGGGTAGCAAAGTCGGATTCAGAGATTTTAAATTATAAAAAAGCTGAATCATTGTCATCAATCAAGCCCATAAATAGTGGAAATTAATTTTATGAATTGTTTTATTTTCTATAAGTTCAAGTTATAAAACAAATAGATCTTTTAATTATCTTTAGATTGTTGTAATTACTTAGTACTCTGGATATGAAATGTTACGACAAGATGATAATTCATCTGGCAGTCACAGAAGATTAAATTAATATTTAGACTAAACCAACCTAAGTTTAATGTCGTAATTACAAAAACAATTATGAAAAAAATACAAATTGTTTGTTTAGGAGTGACACTGAAAAAAGGGAAATAAAATCAGTTAATTATTTCATATTAATATTTTTTTTATGTACAAATCACTTAATATTCTTTTTAAATCAGATCACATAACACTTCCAGCCTCAGCTACATTGTATGTAAGAATATGCATGAGCTTAGTTTGATACATATACATTTTCATGATTTTAAAAGAGAAAAACATTCTACTCACAATGCTGATCAAATTAAACTTCATTTTGAAGACGAAAATTAAAATATAGGATATAAAGTTTTCAGAATATGCAATGCTTGTATAAAGGTACACTTATGTGGTGTTCTTAGAATTTTTTTTTTTTTTTAATTTTAAAATAGTAACTGTATTTCTTACTAATGCATCAAATAAACTACTGCAGAAAAGAATGTCAGATATTGGTAGAGTATCTTCATGTAATAGTATTCTTAACATTGTCCAAAAGAATAAAGCTAATGTTTACAATAAAATATAGCATTTCCTTTTTGTGTCTTTTACTTTCACCTATTCTTCATTTTAATTTTTAAATGCTGTTTCTCAGCTTACTTGATGACATCTTTCAAGCAAATAAACTTAAATTTTCATCAGCAGGCTTAATTGTGCTTTCTTTTACCAAATATATAATTTTCTGCCTATTACTCCATCTGATAAACATAAAATATATTTATTCATTTAAAAAATATTTCCCTTCTTCCCTCCTGTTGTATTTTAACAACTTTTCAACCATGTGAATTCCCTGCACTTTCATACAGCTTTTATATATACTTCAAATAGTGAAATAAAATATTATATAGCTTTACAAGTCAGCTCTTAAGATATATTTTTTGTATTCTAAAACTAGACTTTGATTTCTTTTATTTTTATTGATTGATTTCAGTTAATGTTATGGTTCCAATAAAATGTATAATATATATATCTTGTTTCTAATACTATTTTCCATATTACTGGTTTTCCAAGAATGTGATGCAAATTATAAGCTTTGAAATGCATACTTTAGTTTCATTGGGTGAAACTCATTATGAATAGTATTGAAAGGAATATACAAATATGTATCATACGATGTGACCAATTAGAATTTCACTTTCCATAAATATGCAAATTAGGTAATGGTTGAAGGTGATGTCAAAACCTTTGAGATGATTTTTAATTGCTGATAAAATGTTTCTGAAATACAATTCTGGATATTTTTTTATTAGAGATAAGATTAGTTATGATTAAAAAAGATAACTAAATGATTCTCAATGCGAATGTCCTGTCAGCAAGGTTGAAGCAGGATAGTTTATTAAAGATATTATTTTACTTTGGTGTTGACTATTCTGTAATTATTCTTACTTACTTTTGTAATCACTTTTAGATTTTTTTTTCAATCAATTTCAGATGAATATTGCCCACAGATCTGTTACTGGTCATCCAAGATTTACTGCAACCTCTGGTTAATACCTATATGGCTTCATTAGCTCAGCGTTATCAACTAAGCAAACCCACATCAGCTCTTAGAACAGTCATTACTATAACAAATGGATGGTGAATCACAATGATTATGGTGTGGAAAAGGGCACACAGACAACACAAATTTTTGTCCCTTTGAATGCTACACAGTAAGGCTGAAATAGATGCATCAACATGCAGGCTGGAAAGCAGCTGAATGGTCAACGTACTATTTACAGATGAGTCAAGATTTACACTGGAATCCACCAATAAGTGTGTAAAGATCTGGAGAGAAGGAAGAGAGAATTTCAATAACACCATGCCTTCAGTACTGGCAGTGTAACAGTGGGGACTGGATTTTCTTCGAGCTGTTGCATTGATCTGCACATCTTTACAATTGGTATTTGGGTGATGTCTTTGATCTCTTAGTGAGACTATATGCTAATCAATCTTGCCAGAGACATGATATACCTGTCGTGTGTGCTCGCGAGTTGATAATTTGAAGCCCAAAGAAACAGAAGATGTGAAGTTAGAAAGAAAATTGTATTTAATTTAGGATTTATTATATAGAAAGTTTAACACTGGGCTCTGCTACTGGATGAGAATGCAAATAATTAGATAATTATAAGACACATATTTGTATATATATATATATATATATATACACACACACAAATATGTGGTATACTAATAAAATATTGATTTTATATATATAGACTATATATATATGCAAATATTTGTATATTTATTTTTACTCGTGAATTCGATTTGTAAGTGCTTAAGATGCACGTTAATGAATATTTAAGCTTACGGATATAAATGTTGGGTAAGAGTTTACTTATTTTTTTCCTTTTTCTTTTCTAAGAACTTTTAGCACCAGTGAGTTTTTCTGTATATTACAAAAAATGTTAAGTGTCTTTACCTTTTTGCTTTTTCATTTAGATACGAAAGAAATCTGAAGATACTGAAGCGATTACCTAAGCAAGTACGTCTTCTTTCACGACTTCATTTTGAAGACGAAAATTAAAATATAGGATATAAAGTTTTCAGAATATGCAATGCTTGTATAAAGGTACACTTATGTGGTGTTCTTAGAATTTTTTTTTTTTTTAATTTTTAAAATAGTAACTGTATTTCTTACTAATGCATCAAATAAACTACTGCAGAAAAGAATGTCAGATATTGGTAGAGTATCTTCATGTAATAGTATTTCTTAACATTGTCCAAAAGAATAAAGCTAATGTTTACAATAAAATATAGCATTTCCTTTTTGTGTCTTTTACTTTCACCTATTCTTCATTTTAATTTTTAAATGCTGTTTCTCAGCTTACTTGATGACATCTTTCAAGCAAATAAACTTAAATTTTCATCAGCAGGCTTAATTGTGCTTTCTTTTAACCAATATATAATTTTCTGCCTATTACCTATTACTCCATCTGATAAACATAAAATATATTTATTCATTTAAAAAATATTTCCCTTCTTCCCTCCTGTTGTATTTTAACAACTTTTCAACCATGTGAATTCCCTGCACTTTCATACAGCTTTTATATATACTTCAAATAGTGAAATAAAATATTATATAGCTTTACAAGTCAGCTCTTAAGATATATTTTTTGTATTCTAAAACTAGACTTTGATTTCTTTTATTTTTATTGATTGATTTCAGTTAATGTTATGGTTCCAATAAAATGTATAATATATATATCTTGTTTCTAATACTATTTTCCATATTACTGGTTTTCCAAGAATGTGATGCAAATTATAAGCTTTGAAATGCATACTTTAGTTTCATTGGGTGAAACTCATTATGAATAGTATTGAAAGGAATATACAAATATGTATCATACGATGTGACCAATTAGAATTTCACTTTCCATAAATATGCAAATTAGGTAATGGTTGAAGGTGATGTCAAAAACCTTTGAGATGATTTTAATTGCTGATAAAATGTTTCTGAAATACAATTCTGGATATTTTTTATTAGATAAGATTAGTTATGATTAAAAAAAGATAACTAAATGATTCTCAATGCGAATGTCCTGTCAGCAAGGTTGAAGCAGGATAGTTTATTAAAGATATTATTTACTTTGGTGTTGACTATTCTGTAATTATTCTTACTTACTTTTGTAATCACTTTTAGATTTTTTTTTCAATCAATTTCAGATGAATATTGCCCACAGATCTGTTACTGGTCATCCAAGATTTACTGCAACCTCTGTTAATACCTATATGGCTTCATTAGCTCAGCGTTATCAACTAAGCAACCACATCAGCTCTTAGAACAGTCATTACTATAACAAATGGATGGTGAATCACAATGATTATGGTGTGGAAAAGGGCACACAGACAACACAAATTTTTGTCCCTTTGAATGCTACACAGTAAGGCTGAAATAGATGCATCAACATGCAGGCTGGAAAGCAGCTGAATGGTCAACGTACTATTTACAGATGAGTCAAGATTTACACTGGAATCCACCAATAAGTGTGTAAAGATCTGGAGAGAAGGAAGAGAGAATTTCAATAACACCATGCCTTCAGTACTGGCAGTGTAACAGTGGGGACTGGATTTTCTTCGAGCTGTTGCATTGATCTGCACATCTTTACAATTGGTATTTGGGTGATGTCTTTGATCTCTTAGTGAGACTATATGCTAATCAATCTTGCCAGAGACATGATATACCTGTCGTGTGTGCTCGCGAGTTGATAATTTGAAGCCCAAAGAAACAGAAGATGTGAAGTTAGAAAGAAAAAATTGTATTTAATTTAGGATTTATTATATAGAAAGTTTAACACTGGGCTCTGCTACTGGATGAGAATGCAAATAATTAGATAATTATAAGACACATATTTGTATTATATATATATATATATATATACACACACACACAACAAATATGTGGTATACTAATAAAATATTGATTTTATATATATAGACTATATATATATGCAAATATTTGT